ACAAGTGTATTGTAAGTATTAGACATGAGATATTTGTAAAATAAATTTAAAATTTTATTATCAATAAAATTAGTTTATCTTAAAAATGTATAGAATAAAACTTAATAAATTACTATTAATTAATTCAAACAATATTATCAGCCCGATATCATTTGAAATTGTTGCCTCTGTTCTATTTTATTGAAATTTATTTGAAAGATTGGAAAAGTATTAAAATTTTGATCGTCGAAGTAAATTAATTTGATTAAAAAATGTATTTGTCCCTTCCACATTTAAAGATCAATTGTATCCCGAAATATTTCTATTTTCTCTTGAGATATTTTTTTTTCTAACAATAATTCTCCACTATTTTACGTATTGCGTATGCAAAGAAACTAATAAACGGCGAATACGTATTAGATAATCATTTTTTTTGTATGACACGTCGATAAAACAACCACTCAAATACTCATTATTTTATAAATTATTATCCGGAAGAAAAGAATATTATAATATTTTCTATTATATATAATTAATTGTGTTAACTAACCGTGCTACCTAAAAACAGTATTTTCATTTATAAAATAATGTATAAGATATTAATTATAATATTAGATTTTTTATTACAGAAGAGTTCTATAAATTGTAATATAATATAAAACAATATATTACGTGGATGCAATTATTTTCAAAAAATAACCTACAATGTTCCTTTTTTATCCTCGTTTAATAAAACAATTACTCAAGAGCGGTATTTAATGATCGATTAAATTTTAGCATTAGCTAGCAGCTAACATTCACCCAGCTGTCCAAACGAATTACCCAACTATCTTCTTTATATTCTTTTTAATTCTTCCTCACACGTTAATTCAGCCGATAAATAACTAATAGAGTTCGATTTTTTAATAATTCATCGTTATACTACCAATAAATTGCTTTGCATTGAATCATCAACAATTAATATTACATCATTAATTTAAATTTATTTAAAATGTATTTTTATGATAATACGCTTCAACGTCTATTTTCTCCTTCAAATAAAATTGTAAAATTGATATTAATAATGTTATACATTTTATTTCCAACACAAGAATTATTAGAACTAACAATAAGTATTCCGTTATAAAAAAAGGAATTATATAATCGTAACGTTACGAATGAAATATTATTTTTATTACGGTTATCAAAAAAAGTTATGTTTTAATGTTTTATTTGATAAGTAAAATCTCACATTGAACTTAAAATGAGTACATTGCAAAATAAATCTTTAATTCATTATTAAGATTCAACGATATATAAGCCGAGAGAAAACGGTACTAAAAATTTTGAAAAAATATAAATTATTATATAATTCGATAAACTTACAACAAAATCGAATTGAATTGATCGAATGTCATTAAAATTAAAATAAAAACAGCAAAAGAGTAAATAAATTGCTCACTTGCTCATTTGATGGTTCCAAATGTTTTTTAAATATTCGATATCAACATTTATCACTTTATCTTATAAATTAAAAAAATAATAGTTTTAGTGAAATATTTTAATTTCTTTATTCGCGCATCATATAATTTCTTTTAATCCTTAATTTTCTCCCGAAGGAGGAACTACAATAGTAATCAATAACTTTCACAGCTAATGAATCATATAATCCTGCAATCATATAAACCGTACACGTTATGGATCTTGCATTTTTGAAACAACTAATACACTTTATTTTATCAAGAATCTTTTTTTGTGCATTAGTTAAAGACGTGATATCTAATTCGCGTATCGTTAGTGCAGATATTATAAATTTAGTGATAATATTTTATGGATTTAGAATATAACCAATGCCTGATTAAATTATATGGATAAGTAAAAGAAGAAAATTAGTAAGGAGCAAAACCAAAGAACAGCAATATCATAAAAAAGGACACGGAAAGATTAAATTAGTATTAAGATAAAGATAGAGAGAAGATAGAGGTATAATATAAAGAGATGAATGAGGGTCAAGGCAGAACAATGTAAACCAAGTCACTCTACATGGCTGTACAGCTGGGAAATAAAGATGTACATATTTTCAAATTTCATTATTCTGATTTGCCACGTGAATTTACTTTCACTCAATAAAATTAATACCGCGATATGATCATTCCGATCGATGATCAAAATTCTTATTCCTATTATAAAAATTATAAAACTCAAATGACAAATTTTTATCGGGAATTATTTCTTTTATTTAATTTTGTTTGAAATTTTGCATAAATGTATATATATTTATAGCCTTTTCTTGATTATTGTAATAAACTGATTAACAAAAAATTACGAACAGTCTACTATTACGAAAAAGTTATTATTCAATTTTGATTGGATTCCTGGAAATACTCAATATCAAATGGCATTACTTTCAATAAAATATTTTAACATTTAAAATGAATTAAAAGATCGAAATGTGATCCTATTGAAATTTTATTAAAAAGCTTCTATAGAATATGAGCAATTACGTTAGATGTTATGTAAAATTAGTAAAAATGTCGTTTCAATTAAAAAAGTTATAAATTGATGTATCATATAAATCTCAATCGTATTAAATTAATACGAACATGTATGTGTGTGTGTCAATGTGTTAAAATTATTAAATTTAAATAAAATTACGAAATGGAGAGAAAGGTTTAAGTTATAAATACTGCTTTTTTTAAAATAATGAAAAGAACATTTTCTTCAAGATTCTTCATCGGAGATAGTAGACGAAGCATACTGGTAAAATATAATAATAAGTGCCAAGTAAAAAAAAAAAAAAATTTATTCGAAAATAAATATCGGCATTGCGATCATACCTGGATCCCAATGTTAACCAATGTTAAAAACCTAGTTCTTTGGTATCCACAATCTTCAAGTGTTGAAAGTTAACGATTTATGGACATATATTATAAATAGTTGATAACGAAATGCAGGTCCTTACGATGAACGAAGTGGCAGTAATTATACAAATTTATACAAAAAGAATAGAAACAATCTAATAGAAATAAATAAAATCTTCTTATAATCGAGTCTCTTCAGTGATGACAAACCCAAGTGATCAATCTTGATCGTGAATTAATCTTGGATCAATCTTGGATCAATTTTCGATCAACGTCGATCTTCAGTAGAAGATAAATCTTTAAAAATACTGATTCTTCGTCGAATTTAAAAAAAAAAGAAAAAACGAATCCGCAAAATCGACAAACGAATAAAAAGATAATGTCGTTCTCGTTTCATTTCAGTTGGCAAAGTTATAAATTGATGTAACATATAAATCTCAACTATATTGAGGTTGGCAAAGATTTATGACTAAAGATTATGACAAAATACGATAGGCTTTCTGAATTCGATCATTGTTTGTTCAATAAACAATAATTAAATATTTATAAAAAAAATAAACACTTTTACAATGTTTGTTCGTTCGTTTACAAATAGTGAAAAATGAAGAAATTGAATGTACTTTATAAATTCTTTATTGATTTAATTGTTAGCCTCATTTACGGTGACACATGTTATTTTAAATAATAGAAAGTATAGTTTATCAAATAAATTTTTTTACACGCGAAAGAACGAGCATAATGCATAATTATCGTGTAAATAACATCTTTGAATATGTTCTATTGCATATTTTCATGTACATAAATGAATAAGTCTAAACGATCAAATAAATAATGCATTTTGGTAAAATCATAGTCAATCAATCATTTTAGTAAATAGACTTGGCTCATATATTTATTATTATTTGTCGACAAATCCTCGTGAAATTCTCGCGGTGAAATTTGATATTAAATATTTGGTATTACGTTTCATGTAAAACATATAAAATATTGTCTTTTAATGATAATATAATTAAATATTATCTAACGATAGCTTTTAATTTATGAATCTATATCTCTAATCGTTTGCTTACGTTTTTATATTTTACTGCTTCTGTTAGCAATCCATGAATATGAACGATATGAAAATATAAACGAAAAAATAAATAAAAACATATTTTACATAAATGCATATAAATGTTTGTTTGTCATATTATAGATAATTGCTTATTATAATCGTAAGATATGTCATTTACATGAATCAAATCTATAAAAGCTGTTCAGTAATTATACCTTTTTATTAGCGTATATATGAAAGCGTTATTTTTTATTAACGTTAACTTACTGACTTCAATGTCTACAGACGGAATATCATAAAAACAAAGATCACGATTAAGATTATAACTAAAATCTCAAGGTGTATTTATTTATTTATATAGGAACACGACGGTTAAGATAATGAGTTTCAATGATTTAAATTATACCTTCCTTAATGCGTTTTATAAATATGATTATATTTCATACTTGATTACGTACATTAATTCAATGTTATTTTTAATGTGACAAACATGATCGTTCAAACCAGGTGAACTATTCTTTCGAAGCACAAATACGAGTTCAGAGAGAATAGTATCATTGTACGTACATGAAGATAGTTTATTATTATATACTAACGTGCATTATTAAATTTAGCCGAATAGCAAAAATGCTTATACTTCTACGCGAGTCTTTGCCAACTTCAACGACAGTTGTAATATTCTCTGCTTTTAAATAATGCGATAATAAGCTAATGAAATATTATTTTATATTTTTTCAATTACTCGATTTCTTGTGTGTGATAAATTTATATACTTATTTGAATTTTAACTTTTCGAGTGAAAGTTAATTTACTTTCTATATCGTTAATTATAAACAAATTATTAAATATAAATGGTTCTTCTTAAAAATGATTTATAAATTATTTAAAACATTAGGAAAATATCACATTCCAAGTTATGATTAAATTTTGAATTAATTTAAGAGAGATTAGTATATATAATATAAAATTTATATATAAAACAAATAAAATATACTTCTTTATATATCTTTCTAGCATAGAGTGAACGTCCACTGTCCACTGTTCGACTGTCAAAGTTATTAAAATTATTCTAATTTATAGAAATTCACATTTTTCAAAATATAATCAATAAATAAAGTATATCTCACCTTCATAGATACGTTTAACAGCCTCGTAGACATTCGCACCGGCATACTTCACAGTAACATATATTAATGTTAGTATATCCCAAGGATTTTGGAATTGTTGCAGAAGAGTCATGCTGCGTGCTAATATAATTTCGACGTTGAAGCCTTAAAACAAAAACAAAGATTATTAAATTTATATCTCTTGAAAATAGTTTTACCTATACAAATAACATTTCTTATAAATAATTATTCGTTAATTCTTATTTAAAAGAAAAAAAAGAATACAAATATACATATTTGCATACAAATTTTCACTGTCAGAGACAGAAATCAGTACACATGAAAGTTTGATGATGAATATCTTTTGAACGCTTAATTTAATCGCCAAAACATAGGACACCATTTTTATAGAGGAGTTAATTTCCTACAAAAATTTGTATTGTGCACTTTTTAATAGTCATTTATTATCGAGTTATAAAATTCATAAACAAAAATGAAATTTGTCTTAAAATAATCAAACTTAAATCTTCAATATCATTCAAATGGTGAGGTTTACGGAAAAAATATATAAGATACCTTTTTTGTAGAGCATTAAATTTCCTACAAGATTCTTCCAGAACATTTTTCTGTACAATCAATTAATGATGAGGTATGAATTTTATTCTATTGGACTGAGAAAAAATTAAAAAACTGCGATGCGGAGGATCTTCCTATTAAAATTAAGAACTCATATTTGGTGAGAAGTTTTTGAAGGTGTCTGGCAACCCATTTTTCCGTGTTACTTGTAAAAAAAAAATAATTTATTTTTTCGACCCACCCTAATGTTACATATCACAATAAATTCTATGTTAAATTCGGTAAAACAGCAATAAAGGTGTTATAGTAAAAAAATACAGAGGTCGTATATTTACACCTTTCAAGTATATTGATGGATTTGTGAGAGCGTATATATACGCCTTTAGCAGTCAAGAGATTAAATCCAGGATAAACTAGAGGAAAATGATACCATTGAATTAATTTAACAACATTTATATAAAAAATCAAAAAATTTATCGCAGAGAAATAATAAAATTTACAATTACAGAATAATTTGAAGTTAAAATTTAAAAATTGTCTTTTGACAACGCTTAGTAGAAGTAGTATTAAACAGTTAAAACCCTAGTCAAGGTTTTGCGAAATTGCAATGAATATTTAAACAAAAGTAGAATAGAACGCGTTACTTGAATAGAAAGAGAATTGATAAGAAATAGAACTTAAAATAATTATATGGCTTATCGTTAGACTACGGTCTAACGTAACTTTTATTCTCCAATGACCAACCTTCCATACGAAAGGCTAAACAAACGAAACAGAAAAAAAGTAAAGCGTATATGTCACTATATCACACATTGTCAGGCGACATTTGACAATAGACAATTATTTGAATATTTTCAAGCAAAAAAAAAAGAAATAAAAGAACGAAATTTATACAGTAGACCAAGTTCTTCGTAGAACAAATACCACGTGGATTATAAAGGAGAAAGGCGTGTACTCGTCAGACGTGTCAACCTTTCCTGCGCGCGCAACTCTATTATATTCAAACTTTTACCTCTTTTTAAATAACTATAGATATACCGACCCAAGTAGTACTCACGTATCAACCTACCTATAAAGACAATTATTTTATTTGCTAATAATAATACAAAATAAAAAAGAAAACAAAAATGGAAAGGGCCAACAGAGAAAAAGATGGAAATGGAAAACGAAAAAAAAAAAAGAAATAAAATCGAAAAAAAAGGAGACAAATAAAGTCATAGAGAGAGAAAGAGAGAGAAAGAGAGAGAGGGAATGATAGCAACAATTCTTCGATCGTTATGACATGATATATTAAATATGAGGTCGACCAATGAACAAGTAGCGTGGTGGCGTGGCTCCGCCTACGTTCATGCTCTTGCTAACCTTTCGAAAAGGCGGAAATGTTGTACTTACTCGTCGTTGGTACCACATCGAGGGGCGTCGTATAAATGACGGCGTTGCGCCAGAACGATCTTTCCCGCCCTTTTCTCTCTCTCTCTCTCTCTCCTCTCTCTTTCCCCCGTTTTATATGTATCTCTCTTATTGGCTTTAAACCCCTACTCCATGTCCTTTTCATTTAGTAGGTGGAAATCTCTCTATTTCTCCCTCCTTCTCCGTCACTATTTAATCTAATTGTAAGTTTCTTAGATCCATTATCTTCCTTTCAGATAGTAAAAAGAAGAGAGGTGAGAGAGAATTTATAGAGAAGGGAGCAGCAGGTAGAGAAGGGATTGGGGAGGGGAAAAAGACAACATGGAGGAGACAACGAAAAGACACGAGTTTGCAGTGCGTGTATCCATTATTTCAGTATCCTCCTCTATATACTTGCTTTCTTACTCCCTCCTCTTTCTTTTACTCCTTCTTCCAAGTGTTTTACCAGTTTCTCCCCTGTCATTTCAACTACGACTTTACATTTTACGCTATGGCACGTTTCTTATTTCGCCGTTTTATTTTAACGCCTGGTGATATTTTTTAAACGTGACATCACTGGCATCGAACGAACTGTCAATATTAATTAATAAACACCGAATAAAAAAATGTAAGAGAGATACTTTATTATTCGACAATGTTGTATGTCATTAAATATATTCGATCAATTGTTCTTATAGTTTTACTATTGTATATCTCAACTTTATATAAACATTTGTCAAATAATAAGAAGGAGAGAAAGAGGGAGAGAGAGAGAGAGAGAGTAAGACTCTACTAATTCTTTCTCAAATTTGACCAAAAAGGGTAGATATTGGTAGGATAAATATTGATGAATATTAGCAATACAGTCACGAATCACATTATAAGTATGTTGATTTTCTGAAAAAATTTGAAAAAAAGAAATGAACAACAGGTGGTCATTAAAACATATTTAATATTCTTACTATGAAATTCGCCAAGTTCGAATTAAAGATGCAAAAGTCGGTGTCATTTTCTCTGCAGAGAGTTTCAGCCCCTGCAGCATTATTTGACACCTTTCTGTTTTGTAATTACGGTGTATTATGACAGTTCTCCGATATAAAAAGGCATTTTTTAAGCAGACACGACGTGCGAGTACCTTTCAAGTTAACGATACCTTTCGTCACGAAACCCGACTAACAAGAAAATATTTATCAGCATTTCGTGACTTTTGTTCCGGAATTGTTATTTCATCTTCCTGTTTTTTTTTTCTCTAAAGATAATTTTGTACTTTTATAGTGGTACACACATATATAGATGAAATTAATGTTGAAATAACGTTGCCGCGATTTACTTTCTTGAAAAATGTTTACATCGTTTCTTTTATTTCCTATATTTTTATTCGTCCTGTCCTTCTGACTGCCATTTATTTGCTTTAGTTATAATCTACTTCTTTTTTGCTATTACATGTTTCTAAATTGGGCATGCTTTTAAAAACAACAACTAAATATGTTAAAAAGTAACTACGAACAAATACATTCGTGTCACGTTTACACAGCACGCTGAGTTTATCATACATGTCGTACATAAGATCGTCACTTGCCGAACACGTTATTAACTCTATTACCGATACGAACCGATATATCAGCTTTTTCTTATTATTCCGCACCAGGTAACATTATCTTGCCGGTACTAAAGTAACAGCATATTGCATCGATAGTCAACATTTTAAACTATAAACAAAATTTAACTTAATACCCTGGCTAGAATAAAACTTGAAATGCATTTTGATTTTTATGACATAGATGCGCTTAACCGATAAGTAAATATTTTTTTCTAATTCTAGAGTGTAGGATATACTTTCAAATTATATATTCTTTAAATGATATATCGAACACAACAACAAAAAGTGAACTAATTTAATAATATTGTTCTTTTACTCTCAATTTTAGGAGGTCAAATCACTTTTTTAAGCTTATTTAATACTACCAAAGAAGTCGCGTCTTTTTCCTGCCTCTCTGGGGTCCAACAACATGTGATTTTCTTCTTTTGTTTCTATGAATGGTCTTTTATCCATGTTACTAGCAATGCTCACCTTGTTTTAACTTTAGTGATTTGCCAGAAACTAGTAATATAATGTAACTAAACCGTTGATTACCTAGTTTAATAATGTATAATATTATGGGAAAAAATACAGTTTAGTTTTCCAATGATCATTCGTATATATTGTATAGGTCAAAAGATTAAAATCATTTCGAAAAAATGTTACCATTTTTGTATACACACGTAAGACGAGCCAGTCACATTATTTGAGTATACACGCTACCTACCCTCTTTTTGCATTTCGTGTTAGGAATTTTATACCCCATACTTATTACACATTTCCTTAAACATGCAACACGAGGTGCTCACGCTGCTGTTGCCTACTTGAATACTGGTCGCTCATTATTTATAACCACGTTACGTCTCTCTCGCGTGCACGCCTCTTTCTTCTTTCGTATTTTTCGCATTATTAGTTTCATAGGCCGAACATTATTTTCTCTTTGTGCAATCCGTAAATCAACCCTCCGTCGTTTAACTTACAATAGTAATCCGTGTTTTAACCCCTTTGCAGAACATTCGTCTCTATAGAATATTCTACTACTACGCGATAACTCTCGGAAAATTTTCTAGCTATAATTCTTTTCTCTCTCTCTCTCTCTTCCTCTTTCTCTTTCTCTTTGCGATTACTATTTTTATTTATTTTTCCGTTTTTTATTTTTTATTTCTAAACGAAGCAACTTTATCGAAGAAAATTCTTCTATAGATCTTTAATTAGTCGAGCACACATTAATCTCAGAATATAAACATTGATTTTCTTTCCTATCGTGAAAAAAAGAGGGCTTTGGAAAGTTTATTCTATTGCTCGTCATAAAAGTTTTAAAAGACGAACGATAAATATACCTTTTCTCCGAAGGTAAATTAAGAATCGCGTGACACCCTAGAACGATTAACTGGAAAAAAGTTTCGACGATAAATATTAAAGACTGTGAGGGTACGAGAATGTTTATAAAATACAATTGTGTCATTTATTCGATGCTTACTTTCCCAAGAAGATTATAATAAATCAATCGCATACGTTGCTGCGTTCGTTTACGAAAGATTTCTGATATGAAGATACATTAAGATAAAATCCGAGCTTGCTCCTCTTATTTCATATAGTATGATCGTGACTAAAAAAATAA